GAAATGCAAAATGATGGACCCTAATTAAAACAGCAGCAGCAATCCAGGTTGCCTATATGTTTCTCGGAGCTTGCCCACTGATACCCCTCTTGTGCCATGCACCCCGGCCACACTGATGCCTACGGGAGCACCTCATTGGCATCACTGAGCTGCGGATAAGGGTCTGGCAGAAAGGAGGAGATGATAGAGTAACCAAAAGTCTGTCCAAACGAACAGAGAAAACAGGATAGTTACTTTTAGTACGTGTCTTGTTATGTTTGTTTTACCATGTACTGTTAAAACTGCCATAGTCTGCTGGTCTCCGCACACGCAGGAATAATTTCCAGCATCCGCCGTGTCTAGATTTTGGATTATAAGCTCAGCAACGACACCTTCGCGTTTCATTTTATACTTGTCACTTGATTTGAGGGTCTTGAAGCCCTTCTTCCACTCCACCTTAGCAGCAGCCTTGTTCAGCTCACAGTGCAGAGAGACACTTTTACCTTCTGTGGCTTCTTCATCTGTCAGTTCTTTGGTGAAAAGAGCAGGCAGGACTGCAGAGTAAATGTAATACGGACACAGCATCAAAGCTGAGAAAGCCTGACCATCATCTACTGATTCTTCTAGCTCCCTGAACCTCCATGTCACTGGAGCCATAAGACCTTCACACTCCAGGATTTTGTTCTAATCTCTAATATTTCAAAAGATGTTTCAGTCTGATTTTTACTTTTTTATCCTCACACTTAAGAACTTGCTTTAAAAGCAAGTCTGTCCATCTGCAAACTCAGTTGACAGGCCATCCATCCTTTACTTTCTACATCATAAAATCAAAGGAGTAAAATTAGAAGTTGTATTTCAATATGAGACCCAAAGCATTTTGTCTCCTTTGAGAAAAACAGCAGGTCTACAGAAGTGCCCGATTCATGGTGCTATCTGTATTTTTACAAATAAAATCCCTTAAAAGAGAGCGGCTACAAACATGCTGTCAGCTTTCTGCAGAGATAAAGTATATGCTTTGGAAGAGTTAAGCCAAAATTGGTAAAAAAGGGCTGGGAATAGCAGGAGAATAAAAAGGCAATTTCTCATTAAGGTAGTCCTTGTGTAGCAACATACATTGATGAAAACTTGTTCCTCTTAGAAGCAACAAGTGTAACAGTCTAAGTTACAAAAAAATCACTATTATTTCCACTTCTAGGTCAATCCCTATGGGAAAACTTTTAAACGAGCAGCTACACTGGACTGGGGAGATTGTGTTGAGTTGGGGACCTGTACTACACTTGGCATTTGAACAGAGCACCTGGGAAGACAAATAGCACATCAAGAGGGCATCAGGTGAAAGGAGAGAGAGAAGGAAAATAGAATAGAAAAATTAATCAGCAGGAGGAAGGATAGGAAGTTTACAGAGACCAGATGAAACAGGAGAAAAAGAAGAAGAGAGTTTGGAATTACATAGGTTTACTTGGGGCACGTGCTGAGAATTTCTTTTTACCATTTACTGTCAAAGCAGCCGTAGTCTGTTGATCTCCACACACACAGCTGTAATCACCAGCATCTGCCAAATCCAAATCCTGGATCGTCAGCTCCGCAAAGGGACCTTCCTGCTCTATTTTGTATTTTTTACTTGGCTTGAGGACCGTATTCCCCTTTCTCCACTCGACCGGGGCCGATTTGCTCAGTTTACAGTGCAAAGTCACTGCCTCTCCCTCTGTAGCTTCCTTGTTCAACATTTCTTCTTGGAAGAGGATAGGCAAGGCTGAAGGATGCAATACCAACAGAGAAGGAATCAGGACTAGATTGAAATGAACCAGACTCTGCTGTGAGTCACTGGGCTACAGCGCACACATTTAACCAAAAACGCACTACTGATAGGTGGATAGAGTTGAAAAGGGGATAAAAACTCCTATGGTAGAGAGAAATAAATTAGAGAAAACAGTACGCAACATAGTTGTACTGTCTCAAACAAACAAACAAAAATAAATAAAACCAGAAGGGAATATTCTCTAACGAGAAACACGAGTGGAACGGTTACCATTCACTCTCAAAGCAGCTGTTGTCTTCTGGTCTCCACACACGCAGGTGTAGCTCCCAGCATCCGTCAAGTCTAAGTCTTGGATTACCAGCTCAGCGAAACGCCCTTCCCGTCTCATTTTGTATTTGCCGTTTGGCATCAGCACCTTCCCGTCCTTCCTCCACTCGAGCGAGCCCCCCGCCCGGCTCAGCTCGCACTGCAGCGTGGCCGTCCCGCTCTCCGTGCCTTCCTCGTTCTTCAGCTCTTTTTTGAAACGGATTGGCAGGGCTGAGAGATGCAGAAGGAAAAGGGATTGCAACCCAGATCTCCGAATTGGGATTTATCGTGTAACTACCTGAGCCTTATTCTAACAACAGCCTTAGCCTTAAACACATCCCGTTTTTTTTGTGTGTGTGTGGCTGATAAAAAAAAAGCCTCTAGTAAATTGTTCTGTGGGAATCAAAGTATGCGTGACCTTGATAGGGATCATGCAAACATCATACAAATGACAAACTCACCCTCAGCATTAAAGGTGAGGAACCTTTTTTGACAGAAAACCCAAGGAATCTTACGTTTCCATACTAATTCAGGAAAACGTGCATGCATGTCAGCACCCTTTGCTTGAGGAAAGGTGAGAAGAGAAGACAACACAACACACACACACACACACCATTGGGCACAATGAAAGCTAATGATGGATGAAGATTGGGGAAGGAGAACATGAAAACGCGGAAGGATGAAAAAAGTAGAAGCAGGACATGAAGGCAGATGTTGTGAGGGAACATATAAAAAGCAGGAGGGAAGAGATGGACAAAAACATTCCAGAGTTTCATGGGTTATTTCCAGCTTTTTACCATTCACTGATAAGGCTGCTGTGGTTTTTTCATTCCCCACTACACAAGTATAGTCTCCAGCATCCTTTGGTTCCAGATCATGGATCAGTAGCTCTGCCACCGTGCCCTCCTGCCTCATCCTGTACTTGTGACTCGGCCGCAGAAGAGTGTGCCCCTTCCTCCACTCCACGGGGACCTCTCTGCTCAGCTGGCATCGGAGGGTGGCGGTCCCACCTTCCACAGCTTCCACACTCTTCAGCTCTTCTTTGAGGAGCGCAGAGACAGCTGAGGAACGAAGCATTCTCATTTTACTTTAGGAGCATCATTACCAGCTGGTGACCTCACATGGGACTTCAAACCAAATTCTCTTGGCACAGCTCATAAGCTCTGACCTACCTGCACTTCCAGGACTCTGTTTGCATTTACAATAGCACACTATAAGTTTGGGAGGAAATAAAACCAAAACAATTATTTCCCAATAATTAGAAAATCCAGGTAATTACCCTTCTGCTGCCCAAATGCCGACGGTCGCGGACACGTGACAAACTCGCTGAGAAAGTGCAGAAGAGAATTGCATATTCTTTAACAAAATGTGTAGCTGAGACCCTTCTTACCTCCTGGCTTAGAGCTCAGACAAGCACCTCTGTCCAGAGCAGAAAGCAGAACAGTTATTTCAGAGGCAAGACAAGAACGTATCTTGATATCAGGTATATTTGATTGTTATCCATTAGCATGAAGGTATTGTCCTACAAAACAGTGAACATAACTGACACAGACAGAGCTGCCTTCTGTTTCTACTGATCCCTTTTTTCTCTGAATGCTCACTATAAGTGTGCAGGAGCTAGCAGGACCACTGCAAGAAAAATAACAAATGGTCACAAGCAGGTGTCTTATTCCTACCATGGATTTTGACTTGAGCTGTGGTCTGCTGGTCTCCAGTGTCACAGGTGTATCTTCCCGCATCTTCTGGCTCTGCATTATGAATCACCAGCTCTGCCACTGTCCCCTTCTGCTTCATTTCATATTTGGCACTTGCCTGGAGCGGGGCTCCTCCCTTCTTCCACACCACAGTGGCATCAGCTTTTGTGAGTTCACAGCGCAAGGAGATAGATTTCCCCTCTTCCATTTCCATGTTCTCCAGGGCTTGTTTGAAAAGGACAGGCACAGCTAGAACACAGAACCAAGGATTAGGACATGCCCTCTTGATCTGCTGTAGAACAAGTGCCTCATGATAGCTGTCACCTCTTAAAACCAGTCCTTCTCCAAATGAGCAGAGCACTAGACCCTCCCTTAGCTACGTGGCATCAAAGTGACTCTGCTTGGGAGCTGGAAGAAATATCTCCCCTGGATGTTATCATCTTACTGTGGATCCCTAGGAGCATGGCAGAAGTTTCTCTCATCTTTTATAAGGACCCCTTCAGAGTCCTCTGGGCAGCCTCACTTAATGAACTCCTTATTGCTGCAGGGCTCTGAGACACTATTCTTGCCCTACATCTCTCTCCTGCTTTCTGCTCCAGCACGTTACTTTTGCTGTACTACTAAGGGTACTGTATTTGTTTAACAGCATTGCAGGGTGCAGATGGCATCCAAGAGCCTTTAAAAAGGATGTTTTGGGGAGTTCAGGGGTCTAAGCATTCATCAGATGGCCGCTTGCAATTTCCCAGGGACGGGACGTATGTTTTCACGTTCTTGTTCTCCAATGCTCCTGGTCTCCATCTCTAACTCCAGTCCTAATCACAGCCGTGCAAAATAGCTGATAGGGCAGGAACTCTGGCACGTAGGGTATAGAAAGTGAACCCTCTGTGCTAATTCATGTTTTGCCTGGTGGAAAGTTACAGATTTAAAATCCCAGATGCATAATGTGAGATTACACGAAGGAAATATACACAGGTGTTACAAGTATGCAATATTACCTTTAAATTTTACGTATGAATTTGTAGATGGCACTGCCACAAGAGAAGTGCTATGTGTTTTTTAAATAGAAGATCTATCAAGCAATGTATCTAACTGTGCCTACCGTTCACTTTCACTCGAGCAGTTGTCTTCAGTTCCCCAGTGCTGCAGGTATAGTCCCCAGCATCTATCGATTTGACATCTCGAATAATGAGCTCTGCCACAGTACCATGCTGCTTGAATTCATACTTCTCACTGGCATGGAGGACAGTGTCTCCTTTCATCCATTTCACTGGGGTATCAGGTTTGCTGAGCTCACAAGTCAACTTGACTTGTTTTCCTTCTTTAGCTTCTTCACTTTGGAGCTCTTTCTTGAAAAGAACTGGTATTTCTGGAAAAGAATATTGCAAATGTTTAAGGAAACACTGAAGAGATTGGAAACCACTTTTCCTCTTTTGTTTCAAACTTTGTTATCCAACTAGAAAACTATAAGAATGGAAAAGCTTTATCAAACAGTAAATAGATTCTTACAGCTCACATCTGGCTGCCAGCACTCTAGAGCAGCAAAAAATATTTGAGACCATTTTTTTTTTTTTTTTTATTTTAACCACTATCTGTACTACTGAAGGCATGGTGACTATTACAGTTGTCGTTATTACCATTAGTAGCAGATGCTGCCCTGCTATTAATGACACAAACAGCGTGTAGCAATGCTGCAGATGGGTGGTCAGAGCTGGACCACCGGCACAAAAAACGTAGAACTTTACTGAGGTCAACTCGCACGTAACACAGAGGACACAAAGAAACGGCGAAGCCCTTTCTGTCATTGCCAGCAGTATTGATTGCTCCTTATAAAAAAACCTACAACATATTTTTGTCAGACATGAATACAGACTGAGAAACAGCACAGAGCATACACAGGGAGGAAAGCACCGCTGCACGTGAAAGGGTCCCTGTGGAGATTCCTATGAGGGCTCTAGCACAGCCTGGGATTCAAGGTTTTAAGGTAAGTCAGTGTAGAGAAGGCAATTATTGGGGGGAACAAAAAAAAAACCTCAACTGAAGTGTTTTCCCTTCAGATCATTAAAAAAAACCCAACTTCTTCCTGGCTTCTGCTCTCTTACAAACATGCAAGTCACCTACTGATCCATGATGCAGTTGTCATGTGGTTGTTGAAAAACTACAGCTTATTCTTCCGCTCCTCTTTTACCTCTAGCTTGGGACATTTCACTACTGGCTTTTTTTGTTGTTGTTATTTTTGCATTCTGCTGTTCTGAGTTTGGGACACTTCACTACTGGCTTTTTTTGTTGTTGTTGTTATTTTTGCATTCTGCTGTTCTGATGTGACCCCAATAGATAAAGGAAAGCTACAACACTATAATTTGTTGTAGGCATCCTTATGATTTGATTCTGATCATCTACTGGTGATCCGAATCCATATGTTTAAACCCTGCATCCATCCACATCCTTCTTTGTGAAGAGAAAAATGGAGTTGTTGTTTAACACTCGTTATGAATGGGATTATTTCCTAACAAAAACATTCCTCTTCTCATGTGTGAGATTCAGGTCCTACTGTTGTTTAACACTCATTATGAATGGGGCTTTTTCCTGACAAAAGATTTCCTCTTCTCATGTGTGAGATTCAGGTCCTACTCAAGTCAACACAGGTCTTCCTTTTTGTGTAGCAGGTATGGGGAAAAGTCAACGTAGGTCTTCCTTTTTGTGTAGCAGGTATGGGGAAAGCATCCTAGTACTGATGAAAGACAGCAAATCTGGGCCATCAACCACCACCTCTCTTCTTCATTACATTGTCGAGGTCTTCTCTTTTGTTGCACAGCAGATTTCAGCCTTAAGTTGGCTTGTTTCTTTGTGCTCTAGAGAAATATTGTGAGCATCTTGCCTTCCCTCTTCATGCTCTGATGTTCAGGTTGACTATTCCAACAACCCAAATGCTTTCTGTTCTCACTGACTTCACTAATCCAGGTGGCAACTTCCCAGCAGCCCCTCCAGAGCATGTTGAGAGGAACTGCATGCAGGATAGGCAGCAATGTGAACTTGCAGCCCAGAAAGCCAACCGTATCCTGGGCTGCATCCAAAGCAGCGTGGGCAGCAGGTCGAGGGAGATTCTGCCCCTCTGCTCTGCTCTCATTAGACCCCACCTGGAATACTGTGTTCAGCTCTGGAGTCCCAACACAAGAAGGACATGGAGCTGTTGGAGCGAGTCCAGAGGAGGCCACGAAGATGATCCGAGGGCTGGAACACCTCTGCTATGGAGACAGGCTGAGAGAGTTGCAGCTCTTCAGCCTGGAGAAAAGAAGGCTTCAAGGAGACCTTCTAGCAGCCTTCCAGTACTTAAAGGGGGCCTACAGGAAAGCTGGAGAGGGGCTTTTGACAAGGATGTGTAGTGATAGGACAAGGGGCAATGGCTTTAAACTGAAAGAGGGGAGATTTAGATTAGATATAGGAAGAAGTATTTTACAATGAGGGTGGTGAAACACTGGAACAGGTTGCCCAGAGAAGTTGTGAAAGTCCCACTCCTGGATGTGTTCATGGTCAGGTTGGATGAGGCTTTGGGCAACCTGGTGTAGTGGAGGGTGTCCCTGCCCATGGCAGGGGGGGGGGAATAAAAGGACCTTAAGGTCCCTCCCAACCCAAACCATTCTGTGATTCTATATCCACCAGTCAGGCTAAACCCAGCCTGTGCCATTAACAGCCTGCCTGTATCTGCTCCCCATTCCTGGATGTGTTCATGGTCAGGTTGGATGAGGCTTTGGGCAACCTGGTGTAGTGGAAGGTGTCCCTGCCCATGGCAGGGGGTTGTAACTAAATGATCTTTAAGGTCCCTCCCAACCCAAACCATTCTGTGATTCTATATCCACCAGTCAGGCTAAACCCAGCCTGTGCCATTAACAGCCTGCCTGTATCTGCTCGAATGGGCAATTTTGCTCACAGGAGCCAACCTCCTCCTCAGCCTCAGGCTGGAGCAGTGACTTAAGACAGACTTGAGCAGTTATAACATGGGTAGCAGGTGAGCCTGGTTCTGACATGGCTCAGACCCAACACTTACCTAACCTACGTGGTGCTTACTCGATGTGCTCAAGGAAGTACATTCTCATGTGTCTAAGAAGAGAACTTTTGCTCCAGCTCAGACAGCACCTCCTGCCTGTTCATCATCTTTGGAATAAAAACTTTAGATGCACTACTCAAGAAATTTGGCTGCCTAAAGCGATTACCCAGACAAATGTGGGTGTATGAGCTCACTCCTTGGAGAAAGCCATCAGTGGAGACAGCTTCAGAAGGTGATCCATCCTTCCTCTGGATCACCTCTTACACTGGGTGGATCTCCTACAGAGATGCCCACTGTTCTCTACTGACCCATTGCTCTCTGCTCCAGAGAGCTTAGGCACTTAACTTCCGCAGAGCTAAAATCAGGTAAGATGAAGGATTTTCCTGTTTCACATTCTGTCCCCTCTCTGGGTGCTGTCCTAGATGACTCGATGAGAACTTCTCCTGCATTGTGCTGCAAAGACATGAGGTTCCTTTTCAGGATAGTTTCATGGTTTTATCATTTCAATTTATCACTCTGACCTCGGTATTAGACGATGAGTTAAGACCCAAACCATCACTCCAAACGTTCTTACCCTTGACAGCAATAACCGCACTACTTTTAGCTGCTCCAGCCTCACACTCATATCTGCCACTGTCTCTTCCTTCTGCCCTGTGAATGACAAGCTTGGCTTCAAATCCCGACCGGCTGATGTTATACTTGGAAGAATTCCTAAGGCTCTTCCCATCTTTGCACCACTTTACAGGGCTGTCTGATTTGGAGGTTTCACAGTGAAGGATCACATCCTCTCCCTCAATGACTTCAGTATCAACCAGCTCCTTTGTGAAGATGCAGGGCTTCTCTAGAATCACATAAAAACGTCTGAGATGTTTCAAAAGAGGTGTGGATTTTCAGATCACAAGTAGTCTGCGAGATTTACCTCCAAGATTGTTTGCATCATAATTACAGGTCAAGATTAGTAACAAATAATTTGATGCTCACAAACATAAAGCCCTCAGGAAGGCACCAGTCATGCCGTAAAACGTTTAGTAAATAACTAACGTCATCTGGGAGAAACTGAGAAGAAAATACACCTGTTGAAGAACATAAGACCTCTCTTGCATCTCGCTGAATAGAACAAAACGGAGACACGTTTTTTCCTAAGGTCTTTTACACGTGAGTTGATTAATTTGAACCTTCTAAGTGAATGTGGAAAAGTTAGTTCTACATGAAGTGAGGTGCAATACAGGTTTCACAGTCAGTCATCTAGAGCAGGTCTCATCTCATTGGTATGAGTCATCTAAAAATGAGGCAGATAGCTCAGACTGGTCGTGAAGGGTGTCTCTATAACCAGTGGAAGACGGCAGACATCTCCAGAGACCAGATATTCACTTCCGAAATAAGTCATTAGGACAGAGGAGGTATACTGCTCTCTGGAAGCACTTGGCTTTCTACACAGCTTATAGAAGTAGCCTAAGCTAGATATCAGTAGCTAAACTGGCCAAGGTAGATCTTATCCCCTCTAGCGTAATGCTTTTGGTATCATAGCATCACATATCAGTGTCACCAAAAAGAACCAGCCTTTTGCAAATAAGACCTTTCATTTGCTTGCAGGAAAAAGAAAAAAAAAAAAATCTGGTTGCATTTCTGTAGCATGGCCAAATTTGGGCAAACTTTCAAATTTTGAAAAAAAAAAAGTTCTTTGCAAGAAATGTGGTGATTCGGAAAAGAATGAGACTATGACCTGACACAGTGTGCTTTACACCTCTGGGTAAGAAGAAATATTTTTGTTTCCAGTAAGAAAACACCTCTCTGATCCTGCACTCTTGGGCTGTCTGGAATTCACTTTTTTCCCCTCGCTGAAGTAGATTAACACTGCAGTTTTAGCTCGGTTTAACTTTTCCAGAGAAACCAATTCATTTTCAACAATGCATAGCAGAGAACACACATAATGTTGCCTTTCAAGCAATGACAACTAAATCGAAAACTTATCGTTGCACTTTTTTATTTTTCCTTGAACTGACTGATTTCTCCTTCTTTATCAGCTCAGCTCAGGGAAAACTGGACAAGGCATCCAATGTACCATCACTACAGTATAACATTCCCATCTAAGATCCAATCAACACACTGATTGCTGTCCAGGATTACAAATTGTTCACGCCCTAGCCCTAGCTTCATCGTACAGGTAATGCTATTCTTGAACATACACAGATATACATACAATGGGGCCAAATTTGTAGCATTTTTGTTCTTTTTTTTTCACCTACCTACATGAAATCATACTTATTTCTACACATTCTTTCATCTCCTGCAATTTTTATGTTTGAATTACCTTTAACAACCAAACTGGCAGATGTTTTCTTATCACCAGCTTCAAATGTAATGACCCCCGAGTCCTTCAGTGAGAGTTTTTTCAACGTTAGCAAGTGATATCCACCAGGCTGAGACTGGATCTCATTAAGTTCATTGGTATGGAGTGGGGTTTTATCCAAAAACCACTGCACTTTGCTATAGTCTACAGGAGAGATTCTGCATTTGAACATGGCAGATTCTCCTTCTAACACAGTGACATCTTCCAGGTCTTCTGTTATTAGCACTTTCTGGCCTGAAAGGAACATAGATACATCGATTACTGGAATCTATAGTTTCTACCAGGAAAATCGATATGGAAAACTCCAAGATTTCCCACGTAAGTATTTAAAGAAAGTAACATGTTCATGTACAGAAGACTGAAACACAATTCCCCTGTTATTGAACACAAAAACCATTCACAGGAAGATAATATGTACAGGACACACACCAAAGTGGGATGAAGGCAACTTCAAAGCACCAGAACACATAGCAGAACATGTAGCCAGTACAATGCAAATCCAGCTTTATAAAGCTTCTCCTAGTGGAATTATATGGAAAGACCAAAAGGAATAGGACTCCGACAGCATCATTGGGCTCTAGACATCACTAAGCAGATGATCCCTCTCATGACAACCCCTCTGTTTTTCTAGAGCAAATATAACTTGTTTCCTATGGGATAGGACCACCGAGCCCCTACCTTCTTTGAGCTTAGTCCAACCATAAACACAGTGGGAAGTGGAGAGAGTGTCTGACTACAGCTTTAGTAAAAAAACTCGAAACAACAGCCCTGAAAACATATCATTTGTATAGGTATAGATAGACACGCATCTATCTATAACTAAATGAATAAAATAAGGTTATCACTGTATACAAAGATATACCTGATGCTGCTCCTACCTACAAAACCAGTACAGGGAATTTTTACTTTTATCTTGAGCTTTGTAACAGAGAAGCATTTTTTCACTCAGAAAAGTTGGTGTTAGAAACCTCAGAGCGAGTTCAGGTAGCTCAGATCCTGAGGCCATGACGAGGATTAAGCACACTTCTTCACTTCTCAAGGCTGCTCTAGCAGATAGGTGATCAGAGGTGGAGGAGTCTGGCTTTACCTCCTAGTCTCTAATAACTAACTATAATAATTAATAAGTGAACACCACCACTGCATCTCCATGTGACTATTCTTGAGTTGTTCCTTCTGTTCTCTTCCTTGCTTCATCTATTTCAGCTGAAGAGTTTCTCCCAGTCAGGGTCCCAGTGAGAGAACTGTGAGGAGCAGTAACAACCAGACATCACTCCTTCCCCTTAAACACGGCTCTGCTGTTGGTGTTGGCCACCACAGCTCATGTACTGCCTGGAGCACCAAAGAAAAGCTGTTTGGGTTGCACTCTCCAGCTGGAGATTGGGTTGTACCCTTTCATCTCTAAGGTGTAGAAGGACATTAAGCAGTTAAAGATCCTTGGACCACTCATTCACCCATCCCCTCTTAGAAACCACTACTGGAAAGAGGCATCAAGGATATGGAGAAAGCCCGGGAGGCAGAACACTTTATTCCTCTTCTAATAAAGTGAATCACTCTGAATCATATATATCATATGTTCACACAGGAACACCAGCCTCTCCTCACATCAACGTTTTTGGTTTTAAATCATACCCAAAGTACTCTCGATGTAACTTCTTCAACTCAACAAATTGTTCTGCATGTCCAGCTCCATGTTGCTACATTTTTGTCCCCGTGCTGTGCAGTGTATATATATTGTGACTCAGACAGACCCAGAAATCAGAAGATTTGCTATCTGTAAGCTCAGAAACAGTTCTGCCTATGCATAAAATGTTTCCTGGTGGAGAAACTGGATGTACAAGTGTATTCCTCTCATGCATACCTTGCACGACTAGCTTGGCTCTGGACTGGGCATCACCAATGTCGCAGGTGTAAGTGTCACTGTCACTTTTCTCCAAGTTATTTATGGTCAGCTGCAGGACTTGTCCTTTCTGCGTGATCTCGTACTTCCTGCCAGCCCTGAGTTCAGCTATGCCTTTCCTCCAGACCACAGAGGATGCAGCTTTTTCACTCTGGCACATAAAAACTGCAGTTCCAGCTTCATCGACTTTTAGATCTGAAAGTTCCTTGACAAAATAATTAGGTTTTTCTGGAAGGAAAAAAGAGACAGAGAGATTTGTTACCCAAACAAGTCTTGTGCATACAGAGTGGTCTTGAATATCCTCTGCCTCCACTTGTAGAATCACAGAATATAGAGATGGAAAGGACCTAAGGTCACCACGTCCACCTCATGTCACAGGACATATCAGATAAAATATTCCCAGAAGATACCTGTACCTGCCATTATACAGGTGCTGGTGAGATGTTACCCAGCAGACTGCATATGGTTTTGATCACCCATGTTCACAAAAGATTAATTCAAACTGCCAATTTTGATTGGCTTATTGTGTAGCACATAAGATTCTTTAGTACCTACGATGTGTTTTTTTCAGAGTTTTTTTTAAAAGCTGTTAATCCATGACATTTTTTGAAAACTAAAATTGATTCTGTTTAGGGAAATATAAGAAAAAAACATCTCCCATAGGCTGCAGTTATTTACCCCCAACTTCTGTACATGCCAGCCCCTACGCATGCTTCAACTGACCTTGCACTGTGACCCTGGCTTTTGTTTTAGAGACCTCTGTCTCACAGGTGTACTCCCCACTGTCCTTGACCGTGGAGTCATGGATGATCAGAATGGCCCGTGTTCCCTCTTGGTGCAAGTCATATTTCTGGCTTTTTCGGATTGCTTTGCCATCCTTGTACCACCTGATGCTCACATCAGGTTTCGACAACTCACAGCTCAGGCTGATGTCCTGTCCCGCTGCTGATGTTTTATCCTCCAGCTGTTTCATAACCTCGGTAGGTTTTTCTGAAGAGGGGAAAAAATATAAACAGAACTTGGAATAAAAATAGAATCATAGAATGGTTAGGGTTGGAAGGGACCTGAAAGATCATCTAGTTCCAATCCCCCTACCATGGGCAGAGAAATCCTCCACTACACCAGGTTGCCAATCATGGTCATGATTGAGGTTGAGGTTTTTGCAATTCAAATATCCAGTGAGTTTTCACATTCTCCAATGAATGATTCTTATTATGTTAGGGAAGAGAGGGAAAATGTAGTCTTGCTCTTTAGTTCATATTAATTGCAGCTATGGGCTCTCAGTGAATATTCATGATTGCTTACAGGAACTGAGGACTTGACGTAATGGCATCCATTTCAAGGGATGTCATTTTTGGAGCTGGGTCTCTTTAGCTTGGAGAAGAGGAGACTGAGGGGGGACCTCATTAATGTTTATAAATATGTAAAGGATGACTGTCATGAGGATGGAGTCAGGCTCTTCTCAGTGGCATCCAATGGTAGGACAAGGGGAAATGGATACAAGCTGGAACACAGGAGGTTCCGCTTAAACATGAGGAAGAACTTCTTCCCAGTAAGGGTAACAGAACACTGGAACAGGCTGCCCAGAGAGGTTGTGGAGTCTCCTTCTATGGAAATGTTCAAAACCCGCCTGGATGCGTTCTTGTGTGATCTGATCTAGGTGGTCCTGCTCAGGCAGGGATATTGGACTAGATGGTCCTTTGAGGTCCCTTCCAATCCCTAACATTCTGTGATTCTGTGATTTTTGTCATGACTGAAGCTACTGGAGGTATGCACTTATGGTGGAATCTATCTCACTAAATATAGACATCTACACTATAAAGATATATAGCAGAGGCACTCACTTCAGGGCCACTCTACAACCAGCAGTTATTTGCCAAGTACAAGTAATGGACTTCAAGGAACAATTTATTTTATCCCAATAACTGTGGATCATGAACCATGTCTAAAAACTACCTACTTCTTCTCTCCATTGACTACCCAGGGAGCCTTGGGTGATTATCTCAGGTGCACACATTCTGGGTAGTAATTGTCTGTACAATTACACAACCCCGTTCATTCTGCAATTCTAAAATACTTATACAATTTTAAGCCTTTCACTTGTTTTTAAGGAAAAATTTCAGTGTTTCAAGGCTGACAGAGAAGGCTGCTATTCACTTTGACCATAACAAGAGTTTACTCTCATGGTTTACTGACATACGTTATGAAACGGTGCCCAAGAAACCAAATTGCAAAAACTTTTTGATCTCATTACCTTTCACAACCAGAGAAGCCTTGGAGGTTAGACCCCGGGCAGTGAAAAGGACTTCCCCAGCATCATCAGGAATCACGTTTTTGATATTAAGTGTATATTTCCGACCCATGTTAGAGGCTTTAAATCGCCCACCACTTTCCACTTTGCTCCCGTTCAGCGTCCAGTTAAAGTCATCAATGCTTTCATGGGACAAAATACACTCAAAAGTGCAATCTTCTCCCTCTTGGATTTCAGTGTTCTTCAGCCGTTTGGTGATGCCAATGTTCAGTTCTGGAAGACAAAAAGCAGGTTAATGAAAGGAGAAAGGGCTTTTATGATTGACATGAGGAGTAGTATTGACATTTTTAGCTCATCAGACTAGTTTATCTACTGGATTAGAAGGACAACACTGCATCCCTTACAGATGTATTTGAGATGAGAAGGGTTTCTCAGACATTATCCACTCAGAATCACCACAAAGTTATAGGAAAAGGGAAATGTAAATCTGGCTTTGCTCTGGAAGGACTGCATGAAGAACAGCTCATTTGGTGAAGAAGAGTCAAGATTCAATTAGCTAGAGGGGAGAAAAGTGGTCAGACAGGAAGCCTCTGGGATGTTGCGTGAGGTTTTTCTCCGTGCCGCTGTAAAAAAGACAAACATCCAATTTCTTAACTTGTTACCATCCCACCCCTCCTGGTGTTCAAATCAGAGAAATTCAAAATTTGACTCATTATCAATCTGAGTTCGAAAGCCATGAAGGCTCCTCTTTCCTTCAAGCAGCCGCAAGGATGAGAGGACAGGCTGAACTGCTGGGCTCTTCAATAGACAACGCTGTCCTACTTTTGTGTTCCCACAACAGACTCTGAATTAAGAGCTGAAAAATATAAAACACAAGCTGTTTGGGTTTTTTTGTTTATTTTGTGGCTTTGGTTGGGTTTATTTTTTAGAAATTATTTGCTCTTCCGGGAGGATTTCTGCACCTTAGGGATGTTCAGGAAGGAAATATTGCCACTACATTCCTGACACGTGATTTTTCATTGAAACACCAGATAATACTTACATTAAAGAATAAGAGAGATTGTTCAGACATCATTGTGTTACATGAGACTTATGGAGGAACAGGTGCCAGACAAAGTGGCCAAGCCCACCCCTATTTGCAGCACCCCTTGCCTGGCCATCATCTACAATACTTACCCTGAACGCTGACCTTTGACTTGGCAACATCAGTGCCAATATCACATGTGTATAAACCTGCATCTGTCTTTTCGAGGTCATGGATAAGGAGGCACAGGGTCTTCCCGGACTGTATCTGCTCATACTTGTTACCAGAAGTGAGGTTCACACCATCCTTTTTCCAAATAGGTCTGACCTTCTCTTTGGAGACTTCACATTCCAGTTTAATCACACCTCGTTCCTCACCAAAAACATCATCCAAGGACTTCATGAAGACAGCAGGTTTCTCTGAAGGTTAACGGGCAAAACAGAACAACCAGGATATTTAAGTTGAGGCATTTTCAGTTGCTACCAAATATTCAAAGAGAGTTTAAGTAAACTCTTGGCAATGCTGATGATACCAATGCAGAATCTAAAGAAGCCTCACACCTCATGATTGGAATGAGTTTTAGAGAAATTAGAATTTATTAATGGGAGGAGGCAGGGAAAGACCTGCATTGCAGTGGGTGGGGAGTGACATTCAGTGCTGAAATTGTGGCCTCTCTTACAGCTGCACACCTAGGAGGCTGCAAGGACTCATTTTTCTCTGTATTGGGGCATCTGTCAAGCACAGGAGATCCCATCACAGGGAATGGGGCTTGGAGCAGGCATGAAGCCATACCTGGATGTGTTTAAGAATAGGGTGGATGATCTACTTAGCGACATGGTTTAATGGGGATTAGGGACGGTTGGACTCGATGATCTCTAAGGTCTTTTCCAACCTAGAAATCTATGAAATCTATGAAGGGCCCTAATGAAGGCCAGAGAGACATCTTCATGCTTCTGTGGAATAGCTACGCAACAAGATAGATTAGATCTAAGGAAGTCCTTGTTTGCATCGTGGAGGAGCAGAAAATGTTTTACTTCATGTTTCTAACATGCCTATAATAATTCACATGACTTACTGTGGCTTAGCTGATGCACAAGAACATGTTAAACCACAGCAACTCAGATGTGTGACCAAAGTTTAAGGCATATTAAGGACAGCAGCAAACTGCTTTCTCTGCTGAATCAATCCAACTCCAGAACTGATGTACTGAACGGTGTGCCCTACCCTTGGAGGTACACTGAAACTCATCTCCTTACAGACAAAAATCTTTATAAATAACAGTTTGTAGACTATATACTATTGAAGAGAGCAAGTAAATGAAATTGCTGTTGAGACTATGCGGATGACAAGTAAAAGGATGCTAAATAGCTATGGAAAGTTTGGCAGGAGACCAAAACAGTCTTCCACAGAAAAATCGTCAGCTACACTAGAAACTTAGGCTGGAAGAAAGCCCCCATGCACTGATTACTCAGCCCCAGAGAGGTGAAGCTTAAGAGCAGGACTGCTGCATGACTATGGTAAATAAGAGCTCCTCTGCATCTCTTATTTACGTTCAGGAGGTGTATGATCACAACCCACCTATCACCTTCAGATGCACGCTCTCTGACACCTTGTCTGACTTCATTGTCACTGTGCCCGCATCCTCAGGCTTGACGTGCTTCATCGTCAGCATGTAGCAATTGCCAACGTTCCTGATGTCATTGAAGTTGTTGGTGTAAAGGAGGGTGCCGTTGAGGAACCATTCCACATCCTCGTCGTCGTGGGACAGCTCGCAGGAGAAGACAGCGGAACTCTCTTCTTCGATTTCCACGTCCTGCAGATGTTTGAGTACTTCTACGTTGCGGGCTGTAGGAAACCAAGGTGCACCATCACCACTGTTACCATAAATCCGTACTGTTACCACAAATAGATTTCATAGTGTTTAGAGAGTTTATTAGATGATTTAGTCTGGTCTTCTGTACATCATGGGTCACCCAAAGTAGCCTTTGCATGAAGTTGTGAATGCCCCATCCCTGGCAGTGTACCAAGGCCAGGTTGGATGAGGCTTTGGGCAACCTGGTGTAGTGAAAGGTGTCCCTGCCCATGGTGGGGGGTTGGAACTAGATGATCTTTGAGGTCCCTTCCAACATAAATCATTCTATGATTACATTTCATTTACTTGGTTCTGCATTTGATCCAACAAAAGAAAATCCATTAAAAACATTATATTATCCAGAGCCCTCAGTTCTCTTTTTACACATAAAACTGTTTCCAAGAAAATCAGTTAAAAAGATTATATTATCCAGAGCTCTCAGTTCTCTTTTTACACATAAAACTGTTTCGCTTTTTTTTTCTTCTCAATTTAAAAATAAGTCCGTCTTTCTAAAATGGTAATAACGTTACAGTGGTGCCTAAATACTCCACAGAGCTCCAGTCCTTCTGTGTTCGTCACTGCACGCACACGTACACTCTGTAACTAAATTGTCCCTAACTCACCGCCAGGGAAACACAGAGGATGAGATGAAGGTGATGGTTTGGGCCACAAACAGCAAGTACAAAAAGATTAAACAACTTGCTTAGGATTAGGGAGCAACAGGAATTGAATTCTTTTCCAGTCCTTGGCCAGAGGCTTCTCTTTGCAGCTTCTCCACTCGTGAACAGCTGTTTCTCAAGGACCAGCTAACTCAGAGGAGAGTTTGGGAGTATTAAATAATTTTGGTGTTTGGATGAACCTTCGCAAGGCCAAACTGTTACCAAGAGCTGCGCCCTGGACTTCTGGAAATGATTCCGTGGCTCATCTCCAAGTCTTGCTGACAGTGACACAGTGATCATCTTTTCCCACAGTTTCACCAGAGGTGAAGAACTGGCTAAAAATAGTGCCATACCCAGATGAGGTAGAACAACATCAGTAATAAGAAACACACAGCAGGTATAAAAGCTGACAGAGTGGGCAGGAACTTAAAACCACAAGATCAATCACCAGAATCAGAGACCTGCAGCAGTTTAACAAAAAGGACGTTTTTAAATAGAAGTACCAGAGTTCTATTTCCTTAGATTAAATGGAAAATAATGTGCCTGGAGAAAGACACAGGAATTTCTGCCTTACCTAGGTGGTGCCCTTCCAGGTGCATTACCTATGTCATGGCAAGCGCTGGATTTCAGTGCTGTGTAATATCAGGACAGTGCATGATACAGTCAGTTCACTTCAGATATTGCATTTACATAAAATTAGCAGAAAAAAACCTCTGGGAATCTACCTCTGCTCAAGAAGAGAAACCCAGAGTGAAGTACTCAACCATAAAGACGTGCAACAGGCAAGTCGTCCTGCTGCAAGCCACTCGTACCTTCAACGGTCAGCGTGGCTTCGGTCTCTGCGTTTCCAGCCCTGCACTTGTACACACCAGCATCTTCGGGCTTCACCTTCAAAATCTTGAGCTCCGCCGAATGCTGCTCCCGCTTGATTTTGTACTTCTCGGAGGGCTCGATGGGCGCGTGGCCCTTGAACCACTTCACAACCTTTGGAGAAGGCCTGAAGTCGCAGGAGAGGATGACTGAATGGCGCTCCAGAGCTGTCTTGTCCTCCATCTTCCTGGTGATCTGTATGTGGTAATCTGCAAAGCAGGATTGGGAAACCAGAAAGGATCAAGCTGAAGGAGAATAAAGTTTCCGATGTGTATTTCATGCCAATTAATTCCATGTATGTTGCTCAACTGTTTGGTGAATTGCTCAGATGATGCTACAGGTTTCTGATTTGCTTTGAAGCTAAACCAACGTGATGATCCATAGGAAATGTTGGTTTCTCTACGATAATACTGTGTATTAACTATCAAATGCTTAGTCCAGTTCTGGTTGAGTGCTTTCCGAATTTCTCTCTAATTGAAATTTTTATTCGAATAAGAGCAAATTAAAGACAACACAAGGACTTCAGGATGTGACTGGAGATGTTTACTAAGGTGACAGCAGAAGATGAAAAGCCTTGAAGCTTTGTCCCACATCAAGTCGATGACAAAGTGGATTAAGTTAATGAGCTATCAAACTTGTCTAGTTCAGAAATGGGACAAAATAAACTGTCCTGGCAAATTTATCTGTTTTGTCCTCTTTGGGAAAGTCAAGAGAAAATCCCCCAGTCTTAGCCCAATAGATTTGAATATCAAGCACTCCAAACTCATTGAATTGGATCCCTTCCTGAGAAGTTGCTGTCTCATTTAGTTCAGCCAGCACTGCACCCAACAACTTGTAATCAGGAACTAAGATCTTCTAGGTACACACACATTTCCAAGACTCCAGCCAGAGGAGTCTGCACATCAGACAGCATGTCTGCAAAATTACTTTCTAGAGACTGTGAAAAGAATGATCTCTTGTGATCTAATTCAACCCAGGACATACCACATTACCTCTAACAAGCAGGTTTGCTGTAGATTTTGATTTGCCAATGGAGAACTGGACGGTGCCTGTCATATCAGTACTGGTTTTCAGTATCGTCAGCCTGTGGATGGTGCCTTCTTGCTGCATGATAATGTTTCTGCCAGCCTGTAAGACTTCTCCTCGTAGCAACCATTTGGGGGGTTTCACAGATGGAATGGATATCTCGCATTCGAACTTGGCTTCTTCAGGCTCAGTCACATCCTCATCACACAATTCTTTTACAATATTAATGGCTTGCTCTGGGTGAAAGACGGAATGGGAAAGCAGGGATTTAGGAGGCATGAAAGAACTCTTTCGTTAGCATCCTGCACACTCATGCCATTTTTGCTGCACTTTGATACTGCACTTATTGGTCAAAAGGCCTTAAGACATTCTTTTTTTTTTCATAAAAATAAGCTTCAATTGCTGTTCACAGGTCAGACAGTGAGACTGTGACACTGCCTCAAGAGAATCCAGATCTCCTGATTCTCAGTCCTATTTCTAAAGCCACCTTCCTACTCTGATATCAAACACTTGGCACCATACAACATGGAAAAGAAGGTTTGTTGAAATGCAGGTGTTAAAAATAGGAAAGACCAGCTAGCTACAGCAAATTTTCTCTGAACAACAAACTTTCTTCAGTACATCTGATAAAATTCTCTGGAACATGAATTTCCTTAGGAGAATGTACCATATATTCATTTTCTTGGATGTTCCTGCTCTTATAATCCTAAAAGGAAGCAGTGTCAACAGACTTCAGGAGAAATAAGCACAGAATTAAAATAGTTTTTAAGTAGCATTGTGTTTTCAAAGTAAATGACAAGGGCTTTTCAAACCAACCAATCCTCTTTCCAATGCACTCTAAAGGGGAAAAAATGGTTTACTACCTTCAACAAAGAAATTAGCACTGCTTTTGTCATCAAAGGCATCACAAGTGTACGTGTCTTCATCCTCATAGTCTGCATCATTGATGATGAGTTTCCGATAGACACCGTCGCTCACAATTTCGTATTTGTCACTAGGGTGAATTTCAACATCCTTTTTGTACCACCGGACTTTGGCATTGGCACGAGACACCTGGCATTCCAGGAATCCCCGGTGTTTTTCCAGAGCAATCTTATCTCGCAAAGGCTTCACAATTTTTACAGGCAGCTCTAAAAGGAGTAAAAAAAAAGACAGAATAATCAGTACCGTTTTCATGAAAGATGCCAATTAAAAAACTCATTAACAATATTTCTTTTATGGTCAGTTTTGTGGACAATGACAGGAACCTCCATGATCCTAAGCTCTCAGCTAACACACAGCAAGTGAAAACCTAATGAAAGGAAAACTTTTTATCCCTAGTTTACTCCATGGATGGCTAAACTGCAGAGATAATAGGTAACTTACTCAACATTACACAGTGGTGCTACAGCAAAACCAGGGACTGATCTCAGATTCCCTGAGCACCTCATCAGTGTGTCAATTCAAATGTCTTCCTTCTCTCTGCCTCTATCACACTGTTTAAGTTAAACACACAAAAAATGTTCTATTCTTTTTAAACATGCACCAAAAAGAGAAAACGCAGGAGAAAGTAAAGCTGCAGCTTTTTGTCTCTCAGATTTGAACACGACTATTAACGTCTTAAGGTACAAAACCAACCGTCTGAGAAAATAAACTGTGCTATTTAGCAAAAGTAAATTCCCAGACTGACATTTCAGATGCAGTAAGGTAGGCAGGAATTTTTCTTTCCCTGAAAGCTTTAGGTGTTGTTTAACCTTCTTCACATGAAAAGTGAGGTAAGTTGGTCGGTTGGTTTGTAACAGTAGAGAGCTTAAGCAGTACTGGCATGAAAAGCAAAATTACCTTTCACGGTAAGCTGGGCACGAGATTCTGCCTTTTCTGCTACAAATTTGATCTCTGCTGCATCTTCGACTTGGACACGTATGTAAGTCAACGAGTAGGTCTTTCCTGAGAACAGACACGCAACCAGACATAGCTTCCCCTGAGCAAACAGCTCCACTCCCCAAGGCACACTACCTGCTCTCTACCTTCTCATTCTTCTCATTTCAGTGCATCACCACCTACTCTCACGGCAGCAAGGCCGACCATTCCCTGTGTCAAAGGATAACCTAACTTCAGCTCCTTCAAGGTCTGACTGAGTGTGGTCCCCATCATCTGGAAAGGACTTGAAACAGAAGGGTCCCACCCACTCTCAGATGATTCAAATTGCTCCCCACTGCTGGCAGCATGGGATGGTGGCATGACACCAAATTTGCCTTATTTAAGTTCCCGCCATGTCACTGTCCCAGCCCAGCTGCAGCCCCTAAACAAAAGGGAAACTCTCTGCTAAACCTTCTTAACTTGATTTTGAAGGGCAGGTCCTTCTGCCTACTCTCCAACACCAGCACCTACTCCAACCCATCCCCATTCAAGAATGAGATCCCCCTTTTTCATCCTACCATCTTGACGCATTCTAATATTGTCGGCAGCCTTCAGCTTGTTGTCGTTTTTGTACCATTGGGTTTGGACCTCATCGTGTGAAATCTCACAGATGAAAGACGCACTCTCGTATTCATTCACTTCCACGTCTTCCAGTGGTTTAACAATCTTGATATCTCGGGCTGTGAAATCATAGAGACAAATACTTATTTGGGGTTTCTCCATAACTGAGTGTGGTGTGTTTACCTCCTGCATAATTGTGTGGAAAAACAATGGGACTTGTTTTATTCCAGACCAGCCTCCTTTCCTGGGTAGTTTCTCTCTTCAACACAGTAAATATGTTTTATGCTTGAACCTGCTGGTAGAATTGCCACCTACAGTGGAACTCACTGCAAGAGAATTTTATGGATGTTAGAACTTTACGCAGGTTTTAAAAGAAGTTAAACATATTAATGGACGAAAATCTGCCAAGGAAAATTAAACACAAACCTACAACCTCTTGTGTCACTATAAACCTGTCTCATTCACGTGCTTCTCTTCTCTTACTCCCCTGCTTGTGTGTATGGACTGTATCAGCCACAGGGACCTCAGCCACATGTTTTACCTGGGAGATACCTTTTATTCAGAGATATAATCCTCTAGCTCCGCAGCTGTGCGCATAAATATGTCAGAACTGACCCATATTTCTGTGCTACTGCAGCCCTTTCTTTTTGAAAGGGAAGGTCTCTATATACCTTGGATTAGCCTCAGAAGCAAAGTTCAAATGCAAACCAGCCAGCATTCAAATAGCAACCCATCCCAGTCACAAAGTCAGGGAGAAAAGAGGGAGTTCAACAGAGCAACGGAATAGGACAGACGTTCATGAAGATACTGCTGAACCCAAGTGGCCACATGAGGACAGCATCGAGTAAGCAATAAGAAAGAGCTGGTCTGTCTATTCAGATGTCCTTCTGGAAAATAACATCTGCCAGGGCACAGTAGACCAGCCTGTTCGGTAACCAGCCTTTAGCATTAGCTTATCTCTGGTGCTTCAGAGCCTGGTGACAAAATACATTTGGTGCTTGACCAGTTGCACGGTGCAACACACGGAAGGAAAGAACGTCTTGAGCATAAAGGAGAGGTGCAGTCAGGAATCATGACCTTTTCCTTAGCATTTATGGCATAAAAGCAGGGCACTTCTGGAGAACACACCCAAGGCTTGTCCAGTCCCTATTTAGGCAAATTTCCCCTGTGACAATGGCAGAAGCTAAACCAAACCAGGTCAGCATCAGCCATTGAATCCCTGCTTTGTGCCTGGCTGTTTGGTATTTGCTAACTTGCCAATCTAGAAACACCATTCAAATTCCAGAAAACAAAAGTCATTTATGATAAATGGAAAACTAAGTTAGCACCTCTTCCAAAAATATTCCTCTAAGGATAGGGCAAGGATGGGACAGCTCTGCCAGTGCTTTCTCACTAGGAAGAGAAAGTTAACCAAAACGAGTAGTTGCAAAATACACAAACTGTCCGTGAGGCATTTCTTGCTGTATAGTCAAAAATACTGCACTTAATTTCCTACTTCAGTCAAACATACCATGAACCTTTAGGGTAGCTGATGTCTTGTCTTCAGCTGCTTCGCACGTATAGGTTCCCTGGTCTTCATATTCACACTTGTGAATAATGAGGCTTCTCTTATTTCCCTGGGAAATAACCCCCACTTTTTTACTTTGCCGGAGATCCTTCCCATCCTAGAAGGGAAAAGGCCAAACCAGATCACCATCAACACTTCTATGTCTGCATTAAGCAAAACAAACATTCAGATCTGTGCTTAATTCACCTGTCTCATTGGATTTAATGGAACAGTGCTTACTGGAACATATGCTGACACTTCAGCATGGTGTAAAGTTTTCAAGAAGGAGGAATGGCTGAAGAACATGCTTAACTTCTGGTTGACCTTAGACACCTATTTGAAGGCTTAAGGCACTGTGCAGGGTTGGCCCCTTCAGATATCACCTTGACGAATCGCTGTTATCCTCGTTTAAGAGAAGAATCAGCTGAGCCTCAAGGAAAGTGTATGAAACAACTGAGCTGATCCCTAAAATGACTATCAGGTGCAAAAGTAATTGAGGCTTCACCTTAAATCACAGTTCCCAATAAAGCTATAAATCCTGGGTGAGAACTGCTGGGCGTGAAGTAGAGCACAAGACTGCATTGCTCTCAAAAGCAGCACTCACATTCTGTGCAAGAATGTGTTTCTTCAAGAATGTGTAAGAAAAGTTTAACTTGCAACCTGATAAACACACCCGGTAAATAAATAACAGGGATGAACTGGGTGAGTAAATGAACGTAAGGACAAGAGAGCAATGCTAAGAGCTGTAGAGCAAAGGTTCAGACTTGTGTCCCCTGGGAGTGAAATTAAAGGCTCTCATTGCCTTCCAGAGAAGCTGGAAATTAAAATACCACTATCTGTTAAGTGCTGTACCTTGAACCACTTAACATCCACGTTGGGCCTGGACAGCTCACACTCAAATGTGGCTTTGTCCTTCTGAGTTACACTGATGTCTACCAAAGGTTTGCTGATCCTCACAGGCAATTCTGCAAAAAAAGGAGAAACTCCAGTTAGTGGTGAATTAGGTCTTCAAGACCATCCAGCACGAGCCGGGCAGAGCCTAGTTTCAATGCTTAATAAAACATGTGACAACAAAATCCTATTGTTTTAAGCACATTACCATGAGCTGTTCTGTGAACAATGATGCTACAATAATCCTTTTGACATTAGAAGGATATGTTACTGATGGTGGTCTGGTGCTTAACTTCCTTTGCAGTTACTCAGAAAGCTTGTTCCTCTCTTAAAAGCTCACTCTCTGAGTCAGGAGAAGACAACCATGTCCCGAACTAACCACGGCCTGAGACTTTGGGGTCTGTGTACCTGTCACAGTGAGCGTCCCTGATGAATGAATGCCGTCTGCTTTGAAGGAGATGAGTCCTGCATCTTCAAGAGTCACTGAAGAAAGAGTCAGTGAATGTTTCTTCCCCAGGACACCAATGCTGATATTTGGTGAAGGCTTCAGCCGAACGCCATCCTTCTGCCAGGTCCCTTCCACATCCTCATGCGACACCTCCACCTCAAAGGTGACGGTCCCTTTCTCAGAGACTTCGAGGGGCTGAAGACCTTTTACCAGCTTGATCTGCCTCACTGGAAAAAAACAACAAGGACAAGTTGGAGATCTCACACCGGCAGCTGTGAAACAGCCAGAGGACTTCCAAAATAGATTATTTCCCTATTCCTCATGCAGGTACCTGCCAATTAATTGAAATCTGCTAATCAACCAACCGCCTTTGCAGGAAATAAAAAACGTTCATGACCATACTGCCAGCACGGCTGCTATTCTTAAAATGGTTGCTTTCAGCTGGGACAAACAAGTCAGTCAAATATTGCAGAAAAAGAGTAAACTGACCCTTTTTCTAGCAAGATGCACCACACTCACAGTCTATTCCAGAAATAAGCTCTGAAGTTGTACACGCACACATGGAGGAGTAGAGACATTCTTGTGCTGGTTGAGCTGGTGTCATGGTTTGATGTGGGGGGGTTCTGGTGGCAGGAGCTGGCCACCAGGTCGGACTCCCATCCCCCTCGGGGTTTGAGCCAATCGGTGCCTCTGTGAATTGCCCTATTTATGTCGGGACATGTCGGGA